CCAGAAATTTCAGAAATTCAAAAATCCCGAAATTCAGAAATTCGGAAATTCCGAAATTCCAGAAATTTCAGAAATTCAAAAATCCCGAAATTCAGAAATTCTGAAATTCCGAAACTCCAGAAATTTCAGAAATTCAAAAATTGTAAAGGCAAAAACTCAGAAATTCAGAAAGTCGGAAATTCCAGAAATGCCGAAATTCCAGAAATTTCAGAAATTCAAAAAGCCCGAAATCCCGAAATTCAGAAATTCCGAAAGCCCAGAAATTTCAGACAGCCCACCACCTTTAACGATTTTAGATTTTTTTTTTGAAACTTTTCAAAATCAATTTTTGTTGATTTTTTGAAAATTTGCGATTTTCAGGCATTCCAGCAAGTTCCCGCTTGGTTGTGACCGATTTTTAGTCATTTTTCGATTTTTTTTTCCTGTAATTTCAAGTCATTTTGAGCCATTTGTCTTGCTAGTTGATTTTGGACCATTTTGAGTCGTTTTCAACAATTTCTAGGGCATTTTTATGCAATTTCCCACCATTTTCAACTCTTAAAACGTTAATTTCTTCTCCGTTCCTTCTACTTTCCTCAAAATAAACAAACACTGTGACCATCTGTGTATTTGTGATGATGGTGGTCAGCGTCTCCTCCTTCTCTCGTGCAGACAGAGAACTTATTTTAGTTCTCTCCGCCGTTTTCAAGTACCTAACCTCCTTTGGGTTTTAGTGGTTTATGAGGCGGCGAGAGTACGGTTTGCTTCCGGTTTTAGACACTTTTTGGTGTCTGGGAAAGGTCAAAAATGGTTGTAATTAGGCTAAAAATAGTTTAACCGACTTGAAATAGGTTTCAAACATGCGAAAAATCGATCTTAAACGACATAAAATGCCCTAAATTCAACTGAAATCGTAGCTACAGTAACCCCTCGAATCGGACTACAAGACTGACAAGTAGAGGGTGCGCCTCAGAAATTCCAATCATGATTAGTAGTCCGTAAAATGTCTTATCATTATCTCCTGCCGGTCTGATTTGTCAAGTTGAGAGTTACACAATGCGACAAGGGAGGAGATCAGATATTATAGATAAGATAATAGGTTGAAAAGGAACCGATTAGATAGGTATAGGTGGCCTAGGAATCCAGGAAAGTTAGGCCAGCATTGAATTCCAGATTTTTAGCTGTCTTTTAAGAGAGAAATGTCCTAGGAATCCGCCTGGCCTAACTTCCCAAATTTCGGATTTCTAGGCCACTCTTCCTTCTTGCTCATTCCTAACGATTTTGAAACCTTCCTTCCCGCCCACACGTTTCTTTTCTCTCACTGATAAAAAAGTCAATTTTTCCTATCACCACCATCACTCTCCGGCAAATACTCATTAGCTTGATGATCTTTTGCTAAATGCTCACTTGCTAAATATGCTCATTTGCTAAAATATTCTCAATTGCTAAATTTCACATTTGCTAAATTTTGAACATTTGCTAAAAATGAAAAAGTGGAAATTTTGCTGTTATTTGCTAACTTCAGTACTTTTTGACTGAATTTTTTACAGAATATTCCGGTTTTTGCTTTCAATTTTAGGCTTAGGCTTAAACACCTGTTTCAGCCTAAGCCTTCAATTTGAACAAAGATCATCAAGCTAATGAGTATTTGCCTCACTCTCCTGTTGTGTTGAAATTGAATGTTCTCTGCGTCTCTCAATTTTACCCACTATTTCCTTTTTATTTGGAATTCTGCGTCTCTCAAGGTAGAGAGCTTCTCGTGTGATTTTTCACAAGATTTGAGGTTTGCTTTGAGTTTGTTTTATGCTGAGCAATCTGGAATTTTGGACCATTTGAATCTTTCCTAAGCCTCAGTAAAATTCTTTCCTAAGCCTCAGTAAAACTTTCCTAAGCCTCAGTAAAACTTTCCTAAGCCTCAGTAAAATTCTTTTCTAAGCCTCAGTAAAAATTTCCTAAGCCTCAGTAAAATTTTCCTAAGCCTCAGTAAAAATCTCCTAAGCCTCAGTAAAATTTCACCTAAGCCTCAGTAAAACTTTCCTAAGCCTCAGTAAAAATTTCCTAAGCCTCAGTAAAACTTTCCTTAGCCTCAGTAAAATTTTCCTAAGCCTCAGTAAAAATTCGATGTTACTGAGGCTTAGAAAAAAGCTGAAAATGGTCCGTTTCGGCTCAAATTTTTTGCAAAAAATAATTAATCTGCCTACAGTAACCCAATCTCACAATCAGTGAAAAAAAAAGTTTCTAAAAGCCTCAGTAAAATGGCATTTTCGGCTCATTTTTTGTAGTTTTTTCCCTTCTGACACCTCTCTGACGTCATCTGATCCTGTCTCCGCGGGACCATAAAGGTGTGGTCGCGCAACAGTAATCTCGGGCGGTCCCTTTTATATGGATACTGTGTTGATATTTGATCTTCTCTCCAAGTGACACCTTCCTCTTTTCGACCGATTGAGAGGGGCAAAAGAGAGGATTAACAGGTGTGGGGTCACTTTTATGCTGAGCAATCGCCTATTTTTATTGATCAGATTTGGAGAAATACCTTTTTGGGTACTGTAGCTACGATTTTTAAGCATTTCGAGGTCGATTTTAGGCGTTTTTCGCTGAATTCAGCTAGATTTTTGGCAATTTTAGATCGTTTTAACTGATTTTTGGCTATTTTAGACCGATTTTAGGCTGTCTTGAGACCGATTTTCGGCTATTTTAGACCTATTTTAGACTGTTTTAGACCGATTTTAGACAGTTTGACACCTTTTTTTCTGTTTTACAGTTTTAGATCGATTTTAAACAGATTTTTGGTTGTTTTAGACCGGTTTTAACCGATTTTTGGCTATTTTAGACCGATTTTAGGCTGTCTTGAGACCGATTTTCGGCTATTTTAGACCTTTTTAACAGGGTTTTGACTAATTTAGAACGATTTTCGGCTATTTTAGACCTATTTTAGACTGTTTTAGACCAATTTTTGGCTATTTTTTTTCGTTTTGACCGGTTTTTGACTGTTTTAGACCATTTTAGACCGATTTTTGGCTAATTTTCGCTTATTTTTCTTCGTTTTTTTCTCGATTTTTCCTCCTATGTCCCTTTAAATTCCCCGATTTTCAGCTCTACTAACCCCCAGATTCTACTCCTACTCATCATCACAATCACACCTCCTTCCGAATGCGTCTTCTCCTTCTCGTCGGGGTTCTACTTGCCGCCACGTGGCAAGTAGGTTACACCCGTGCGCCGACGTTTCCAGACAAATCGAAATCAGCGGCTGATGCGATAAATGAGCCGAAGGGAGAACATGTGTGTACTGTCAAGACGATGTAAGAGTGGTTTTGACCCCAAAAAACCCCAAAAATCATAGAAATTGACTTGGAAAATTCGAAAAATCGAGATTTTTGACCCCAAATTCATAGAAATCGACGATTTTTAGCCAATTTTGGACCAGAAAATCGAGAAAATTGACCCAAAAATCATATTTTCAAGCGTTTTCAGCCGGATTGCTCAGCTTAAAAATCCATATTTGCGATTTTTCCGGTCAAAAAGTGACCATTTCCGATGGCAAACATTGTTTCAAGTGTATTTAGTACAAGGGGATTAATACAGTACTACAGTATACAAATAGAGAGGATTACTGTAGTTTTTCGGGATCAGCAATCTCTTTTTGAAGTCAAAAAATGGGATTTTAGGCCAAAAATACACCAAAAATTCCAAAAAAAAAAAATGTTTTTTTCAAAAATTTTCAAATTGCCCGCCGAATCTAAAAAGTCCCAAAAATTCAAATTTCTTGCAGCGTCGACGACTACGAACTACGAAAAGTGATACATCAGGTGGTCTACAACGATACCGAGCAGTGTCTGAACCCGTTGACCGGTTTTCAGTGCGTTGTGGAGAAGTGAGTGCCTGGAAAAGGCCTGAAAGACCTGAAAAAGGCCTGAAATGATAAAAAAAACATGGCCTCAAAAACCCCAAACATGGTTGAGAGCGGCCTAAAATTGACCTAAGCGTGATTTTCAGATATTGACCGATTTTGAACCTATTTTAGCCGATTTTTTGTGCTTTTTCATCCTTTTTAGGCTATTTTTAGCCTAGAAATCTGTATCTTTGATCTAAAATCACCCAAAGTTGGCTAAAAACTAGCCTAAATTGGTTCATTCTATTCTGAAATTGACCTAATTTGAAAATTTTCGATTTTGTCCATACTTGTAACGGGCCGGGCCGGGCTTTTTCCGGAATTTCGGAGGCCCGGCCCGGCCCGGCGGGCCCGTCATTTCACTAGTTTCGAAATATTCAAAAAACACATAAGGGGGGACCCTTATGTGATTTTTTTCGAACAAAAAATTTTTTTTCGAGTTTTTTGATCTTTTTTGATCAGACAGACAAACAATCTGAAATACGAAAAAAAAATGGAAAAAATTATATTGAGAGCTCAAAATTTGGCTCAAAAATACAGAATTTTTGACCCTGGGCCTTCCGGGCCGGCCCGGGCCTTGAATATTTCCTCAGGCCCCCGGCCCGGGCCCGTAATTTTACAAGTATGATTTTGACCGATTTTAGACATTTTTTGGTCATTTTAAACGTAAAAATCCTCCGTATTTGTGAACGTTTTAGGCCATTTTCTGTTATTCTGAACTGAAAAATACCTGAAATTGGTTAAAAACTACCTAAAATTGGTTAATTTAGGCCTAAAATTGACCTAATTCTGATTTTTCGATTTTGTCCGATTTCAGGCATTTTTAGGCATGTCTTAGGTAATTTTAAACGTAAAAATCCGTATTTTTGAGCTTTTTAAGGCTATTTCAGCCTGGAAATCTGTATTTTTTGATCTAAAATCACCCAAAATTGACGAAAACCTAGCCAAAATGGGTTAATTTAAGCCTTAAATTGACCAAAGCGAAATTTTCAGATTTTGACAGATTTTTTCCGATTTTAGACGGTTTTAGGTAATTTTTAACGTAAAAATCTGTATTTTTGAGCGTTTTAGGCCGTTTTTAGCTTAGAAATCTGTATTTTTTGATCTAAATGACCCATATTTTGCCAAAATTAACACGAATTGGTTAATTTCAGCATAAAATTGACCTAAGCGTGATTTGTCGATTTTGACAGATTTTGCCGATTTTAGACATTTTCAGGTCATTTTAAGCCAATTTTTAGCCTAAAAATCTCCATTTCCAGCCATTTTCAGCCCGAAAACCACTGAAATTTTCAGACGCGGTCAAAAAGCCTCTTATCAACGTCAGCTGGTGCAAAAAGAGAAATATATCAAACAGTGTTGCGAAGGGTATTATCAAACCAAAGATAATCAATGCCAGCCGGACTGCAATCCACCGTGTAAAAAGGGAAAATGCGTCGAACCCGGGAAGTGCGAATGCGATCCCGGATTTGGTGGAAAAATCTGCTCTAGTTGTGAGTTTTTCCCATTTTTCTCTTTTAATCTCACTCCAAGCGAGCTGCAACTAATATTTTTGAATTTCCTGCGTCGAGAGCTTCGAAATGAGTATACGCATGACCTACTTTGCTCGATTTTTAATATTCCGGTGGTCCCACCGGGATACTGTAGTTTTCGCGGCGAGACCCACTTTGAAAGGAAAGTAGTCATGATTATACTCATTTTGAAGCTCTCAATGTGCAAAATTCAAAATTCAAAGTTTCAAGACTACTGTACTTACAGTGTTCGCGAAAACTACAGTAACCCACAGCGGGACCGCCGGAAAACTACCCTTCAAAATTTGAAAAATTCCCATAACTTTCTTAATTTTTGCTCCGAACAACCTAAAACAAGAATTTTTGAATTTCTCACGTCGAGAGCTTTAAAATGAGTGTACGCACGACCTACTTTGATTTTCGTTAGGGATTACTGTAGTTTTCGTGGTGAGACCCAACTTTCATCAAACCTAGACGTGTTTATATTCGTTTTGAAGCTATCAACGCCCCGAATTCAAATTTCTAGGTTTCAAGACTACCGTACTCGATTTTGACCACTAAATTGCTCATTTTTCAGCCTGCTCCATCGGAACGTGGGGTCTTGGATGCTCCAAAAAATGCGACTGTGAGAATGGAGCAAATTGTGACCCAGAACTCGGCGACTGTATTTGTCCCTCAGGATTTCAAGGGAAACGCTGCGAAGAAGAGTGTCCAATCGATAAATGGGGACCGAATTGTGTCAAATCGTGTCCCTGCCAGAATGGTGGAAAATGTAACCATGAGGGAAAGTGTGTTTGTACCGATGGATGGGGCGGAGAGTACTGTTTGAATAAGTGTGAAGAGGTAGGTCGAAAAATTGGCTGAAAACGCTGAAAATCGCTGAAACTAGACTTCAAATAGGCCTAAAACGAGCTAAATGGGCTAGAAAGTCATAAAATCGGCCGAATTCGAAATCAGCTCGTCGACAGCTTCAAAATGAGTATAATCATGGCTAGTTTTGCTTCAAGTCGGGTCCCACCACGAAAACTACAGTAATCCCCGAGAAAATTCAAAATTGAGCAAACCTAGGCATGGTTATACTCATTTTGAAGCTCTTAACGCGGGAAACTCGAAAATCATGATTTTAGCTTGATTGGCTCGATAAATCTCAAATTTTCAGCCGTTTTTGGGGTTTTTTTCAGGTTTTTCAAAAAATTGCAAAAATTTAAAAAGCACTCTAACTCGTTGAATTTTCATCATTTTCTCCTGAAAATCGGAAATTTGAATTTTTCGCGTCAAGAGCTTCAAAATGAGTTTAATCACGGCTAGTTTTGGTTTAGGTTGGGTCTCGCCACGAAAAATACAGTAATCCTAGGAAAAATTCAAAATCAGGCAAACCTAGGCATGATTATACTCATTTTGAAGCTCTAAATGCCCCAATTTCAACAGTCGAGTTTTCAAATTGCTTTGAGCGAAATTTAGAAAATTATGGGACTTTTTTCAAAATCCCAACAAAATTTCACCTAAAAACCCCATTTTTCTCTCTTAATTTTGCTGTTTTTCTCTCTTGAACCTCCATTTTTTAAATTTACACGTCGAGAGCTTCAAAATGAGTATAATCATGGCTAGTTTTGCTCCAAAGTTGGGTCTCGCCACGAAAAGTACAGTAACCCTAGGAAAAATTCAAAATCGGGCAAACTTAGGCATGATTATACTCATTTTGAAGCTCTAAACGCGCCAAATTTGAATTTACATGTTTCAAAACGATATATTCAGTTTTAAGAAAGTTATCAAAGTTTTTCAAAAAAATCAAAATTCTGAAATTTCCATTTTTCCAGGGCAAATTCGGTGCCGACTGCAAATTCGAGTGCACTTGTCAAAACGGTGCTACGTGTGACAATACGAATGGAAAATGCCTGTGCAAATCGGGTTTCCATGGTGCTCTCTGCGAAAAACCGTGCTCCGAGGGCTTCTTTGGAGCCGGATGCACCCAGAAGTGTCAATGTTTGAATAATCAGGATTGTGATAGTGAGACTGGAGAGTGTAAATGCATTGGATGGACCGGCAAACAGTGTGATATCGGATGTGCAAGGGGACGATTCGGATTGCAGTGCAAACAGAAGTGCACGTGTCCAGGGTTGGAGTTTCAGGTGAGAATCTAGACTAAAAATGACCTAAAATCGGTCCGAATTGACCACAAAATGGCCGAAATCTCGATTTTCGGTACTATGGCTATCAACTTCCCCATATGGTACCATGGCTATCGTGGAATCCTGTTATAATCACCATGAATCCCACTCAGTTTCATGGCCGCTACAAATCCTACCATAGTGGCCATGGTGACGATTTTAACGTATGAGAACCATGATAGTACCAAACGGGGTCCATGTTGACCATAGATCCCGTTTGGTACCATGATGAGAACTATGAAACACTTTCCATAGTTGTCATGGGTCAAGTATGGTACCATGGTTACAGCAGTTACCATAGCCCACCATACATCTTACAGCAGTTACCATAATATCATATGCGATTCATGGTGACCATTGTACCATGTGAGAACTGTGGGTACCATGGTTACCATGAAATCCTACCATGTTTACCACAAATTCCGTTTGGTACCACGGTTACCATGGTAACATACAGGTTTCATAATAACCAAAGTAGTCATAGTGACCATTTTACGATATGAGAACCATGGAAGGATTTTATGGTAGCCATGGTACCCAACGGGATCAATAGTAACCACGGTTCTCAAATGGTATAATGGTCACCATGGGTCTCATATGATATTATGGTATCTGTGGTAACTACGGTAACCATGGTACCATATTTGTTCCATGGTAACTATGGAAAGGCTTTCATAGTACTCATGGTACCAAGCATGGTTCCCATATAGTACTTTTGGTACCATGGCCGCTATGATAGGATTTGTAGTGGCCATGGAACGGAGTGGAATTCATGGTAACCATGGAACCATATGGAATCAATGGTGTGGCAGGATTCCATGGTGACTATGGTACCATATGGAGAAGATGGTAGCCATAGTAACATATTTGACCGACAACTTTTTTCCCAATTTCCAGGACTCCAACGCCTCTTGCGACGCGAAAACGGGCGAATGCCAATGCGAGTCCGGCTACAAAGGTGCCAACTGTGACGAACGCAAATGCTCCGCAGACACCTACGGCGCGGACTGCTCCAAACAGTGTTCGTGTGTGATGAGCAATACCGTAATGTGTGCCCCGAACACTGGCTTCTGTCGCTGCAAACCGGGCTTCTACGGAGACAACTGTGAGCTGGCGTGCTCCAAGGACTCATATGGACCGAACTGTGAGAAGCAGGCGATGTGCGACTGGACTCACGCATCGGAAGCGGACCCGGCCAACGGAAAATGTGTGTGTAAATCGGGAAGGAGCGGTGCGAACTGCTCGCAACCGTGCCCCATCGATTTCTACGGTCCGAATTGTGCGCTACAGTGTGAATGTAATGGAAGAGGGATTGGTTGTCATGGTTTCGATGGGAAATGCAACTGCGCTCCAGGCTACACAGGTAAACTATCATTTTCTAAAATAGTCTATTTTAGGATTATTTTAGGCCAATTTTGGACCATTTTTGGCTAATTTTAAGCAGTTTTAAGACCTTTCTAGGTCATTTTAAGCCAATTTTGGACAATTTTAAACCAATATGGACTCTATTTTCAGCCTTGCCTAATATCGTCCAAAAATTTCCCGAAATCGGTCCAACCATTCGCCTAAAAATGACGAAAGTTAGCATGAAATAGTCCAAAAATGGCCTAAAATCGTCCAAAATTTGTCTAAAATGGTCTGAAAATAGTCTAAAATAGACGAAAATATAGTCCGAAATCGGCTTAAATTGGCCTAAAATAGTCTACAGTAGACGCAAAATTAGCTTAAAATAGTCTGAAATTGACTTAAAGTGACCTAAAATGGCCTAAAATAGTTCAAATTTAGCTTGAAAAAGTCCAAAATCGGCCTACAAATATGTCTAAACTAGCTCAACATTGGCCTAAAGGTGCACTGTTTTTTGAATCATTCCCAGTTAATTTTAGACCATTTTAAGCCGATTTTTCAGGCTTCAGTGGTCCGGAATGGTCCAAAAAATGGTCTAAAACAATCCAAAAACGGCCTATTATGGTCTAAAATTGGTTAGAAATCGCCTAAAACAGTCTAAAATGCTCATGAATTGTCTTGAGGTAGTCCGAAAATGGTCCAAAAATGATCGAAAATTGCTCAAAACAGTAGGAAAAAAGTCCAAAAATTGTCTGAAATCGGCCTAAAATGGCCTAGAATTAGCTTAAAATGGTCCAAAATTGGCCCAAAATAATCCAAAACGGCCTAATATGGTTCAAAATTGGTTAGAAATCGCCCAAAATTGTCTAAAAATGACCGAAAATCCTCCGAAAATTGCTCGAAATAGTCCAAAACTAGTCCGAAATTGGCCTAAAATGGCCTAAAAAGGTCTCAAAACTGCCTAAAATTAGCTTAAAATGGTTCTAGAAGTGTCCAAATTTGGCCTAAAATAGACTATTTCAGCCAATAAGCCAAAGAGCATCAATCTAATGATTATTATTCACAGGTCATCGATGCGAACATCACTGCCCGGCGCTTACCTTCGGAGCGAATTGCGAAAAACGATGTCAGTGTCCGGCTGGGGTGGGGTGCAATCCAATCACTGGAGAATGCGAGTGCCCAGCAGGCCGGCAGGGCTTAAAATGTGATATCTCTTGTCCAGAAGGCTCCTATGGCCCCGAATGTAAGCTCCATTGCAAATGTGTCAATGGGAAATGTGACCCGGAAACTGGAGAATGTTCCTGTGAGCCTGGCTTTGGGGGAGCCGATTGCTCGACGAGCTGTCCCAAGGGCAAGTATGGGGATGCTTGTGAGCTCAGCTGTGATTGCTCAGACTCCTACTGCTCCCGGCAAACAGGAAAATGCATTTGCCCCCTTGGAAAGAAAGGAACTCTCTGCGATCAGCCCTGTGAAGCGAACACCTATGGTCCCCAATGCCAGCTCACAACCACCCCATCCCAATGTGCTTCCACAGATCCTCGCAACGGAGTCTGCTTGACCTGTCCACCAGGATCCTCTGGCCACCAATGTGAACAGAACTGTCCCCAAGGAACCTATGGGACAGATTGCGCCTCAAAATGCGCTTGCGCTGATGGAGGCCATGGTTGCGACCCGACGACAGGAGAATGCATCTGTGAGCCTGGCTACCACGGAGCCACTTGCTCCGAGAAGTGTCCAGACGGGAAGTTTGGGTATGCATGTGCCCAAAACTGCCCGAAATGTGCCGCCGGTTCGAGTTGTGACCATATCAGCGGGCAGTGTGTGTGCCCTGCTGGCCTAGAAGGCGCCACGTGTACTCGGCCGTGTGGTGTCGGATTCTGGGGAAACGGATGTCGACAGGTGTGCAGATGTACGTCGGAATTCAAACAGTGCAATGCGCAAACCGGGGAGTGTAGTTGTCCGGCAGGTAAGCGGTTTTTTCAACGATTTCTGGGGAGAAATTCGAAAAAAGGAGAGAAAACGGACCATTTTGAGCTCTTTTAGGTCATTTTAACATGGTGGCCTTGAAATCCCAACTTGAAAAAGTTAGGCCACCAAGTTGAAATGGCCTGGAAATAGTCTCAAATACCAATTGTGGATTTTCTAGGCCATTTCAACATGGTGGCCTAGAAAACTGAAACTGCAAAAGTTAGGCCACCATGGGGAAATAACCTAGAAATAGCCTAAAATGACCTTGGGGTGATTTTAACGTGGTGGCCGAACTTTTACAAAATGGGTTTTCTAGGCCACCATGCTAAAATGACTTAGAAAATACACCAGGGTAATTTTAGGCCGTTTCTAGATCACTTTAACATAGTGGCCGAACTTTTGCAAGTTGGGTTTTTCTAGGCCACCATGTTAAAATTGCCTAGAAATAGCCTAAAATGACCCTGATGTGCTTTTTAGGGATTTCAACGTGGTGGCCTAGAAAATCCCGACTTGCAAAAATTAGGCCACCATTTCAAAATGACCAGAAATAGCCTTAGTTTTCTAGGCCACCATGGTGAAATGACCTAGAAAACTCAATAGTTGCATTTTGAGCTTCTCTAAGCCATTTTGAAGTGGTGGCCTAGAAAACCGCCAATTTGCAAAAGTTAGGCCACCATGCTAAAATGGCCTAAAACAGCTCAAAATGGTCCGTTTTCGCTCGATTTTTTTTTTGCAAAAAATCATAAATCGAGACTACAGTAACCCGTATTTTTCTGCAGGATTCCAAGGCGATCGTTGCGACAAGCCGTGTGAGGACGGCTACTACGGTCCCGATTGCATCAAGAAGTGCAAGTGTCAGGGAACGGCGACGGCGTCGTGCAATCGGGTCACCGGCGTGTGTATCTGTCATCCTGGATTCACCGGAGAGTTTTGTCATGCTTGTGGGTTTTTGAAGTTTTTGAAAAATATTGATTTTGAGCCATTTTGAGCCAAAAATTCAAAAAATTCCAAAAAAAAAAAATTTTTCGAAAAAAAAAATTTTTTTTTGGAATTTTTGGAATTTTCACAGTCAAATTAGTCTAAATTGGGCAAATTTAAGCCCTGAAAATCCCCTAAAACAAAGCTACAGTAACCCAAATTTCACTACAGTATGCCCCGAATCAACGTTCGGGCTCCGATGCTCCAAAGAGTGTCCGAAAGACGGCTGCGGCGATGGATATGAGTGCGATGCGGCCATCGGATGTTGCCACGTGGACCAGATGAGCTGTGGAAAGGCGAAACAAGAGTTTGAGGCGCTAAATGGGGGCAGAGCCAAATCCTCAGGCGCCACGTGGCTCCTAATTTTGTTCATTATCGGATTATGTGGAGTTTTGGGGCTGGCAGCACTATTCTATCGAAATAAATATCAAAAGGAGAAGGATCCAGACATGCCGACTGTGTCGTAAGTTTTTTCTTGCTTAAAATAGGCTGAAGTTGTCTGAAACTCGCCTAACTTTGCTCCAAGCGATCTGAAACTATGATTTGTGAATTACCCGCGTTGAGAGCTTCAAAATGAGTATACGCATGACCTACTTTCCTCGATTTTGAATTTTACTGGGGATTACTGTAGTTTTCGTGGTGAGACCCAACTTTGAAGCAAACCTAGTCATGATTATGCTCATTTTGAAGCTCGCAACGTGAGAAATTCGAATTCCTAATTTTCAAGATTACTGTACCGACCGTATTCGATTTTGAGCCCTTAAAACATAATTTTTCTATAATTCCGAAAAAAGTCTCATAGCTCGCCGAATTTTGCTCCAAGCTTTTCGAAACTACGATTTTTGAATTTCCCGCGTCGAGAGCTTCAAAATGAGTATACGCATGACCTACTTTCCTCGATTTTGAATTTTACTGGGGATTACTGTAGTTTTCGTGGTGAGACCCAACTTTGAAGCAAACCTAGCCATGATTATACTCATTTTGAAGCTCTCAACGCGCCAAATTCAAATTTCGTGTTTTTAAGATGGTTGGGGAGAGGGGTGGGCTGTACCTACCGTATCCCGATTACTGTAGTTTCCTTTAAAAAAACGAAATTTTCAGATTCCACAAATCGCCGAATGCTGAGGACAACCGCGAATTCCAGAATCCGCTCTACAATCGTCAATCGGTGTTTCCGGATTCTGGAGCATTCTCTGGAAGTTCAGAAGGAGGCGTCGGAGCCGCGCCAGATGGTCTGTTGACACTGGAGGAAGAGGATCTGGAGGATAAGAAGATTCATGGGGGCGGAGCCAGCAGAAATATGAGAAATCGTGAGTCCTTGGGGTTAGAAATGGTCTGAAAATGGCCTGGAAATGGTCCAAAAGTGGCCTAAAATTGGCTTAAAATAGCCTGAAATAGTCCAAAAATGGTCTAAAATGGCCTAGAAGGGTCTAAAAAGGTCCAACATGGTCCAAAAATAGTCCAAAATAGACCTAGAAAGGTGGTAAAGTGGCCTGAAATTGCTCAAAATGATCTTAAATGGACCAAAAATAGTCAAAATTAGTTCTAAAATTGGCCTAAAATAATCCAAATTTGGCCTGAAATGATCGAAAAATGGCCTAAATTAGCTTAATATGGCCTAGAAGGGCCTAGAAGGGCCTAAATTTGACTAAAAATCAAAAAAAAAATTTGTTCGAAAAATTCAAATTTAATTTCTTTTATTTTTTTTTTAAATTTCGCGCCAAGCCAAAATCCTAATTGCTCATATTCCAGACGACTACGCTTCACTGGACGAAGTCGCCGGCGGCGAAGGTGGACCAGCCACGTCGTCTTCATCTGGAGTCCAAAACAGAAGAGGTCAGAATTCTGGTGACGTCAGAAGGCCACTTCTGAATTCAGAAGACGTTGACGATGACGATGAAGATGAAGATTTCGAGGAAATTCCACACGAGAATCGGAATTCTACAGTAGTCGTCGGCCCTACAACAACTACTGGTTCATGATTTTTTTTTGCTTTTGACTGAAATTTTTGACTGAAAAAAAAATTTCAAACATTTTTTTCTATATTGCATGTTTGTATAGGATTTGGCGGAAATTTGAATTTTTCGAATTTTCGAAAAAAAAATTTTTTTTGAAAAATTCAAATTTTTGAATTCCCGCCAAATCTTTTTTTTCACTAGATAATTTTGCATGATTTTTTGTGTATTTTTGTGGCATTTTTTGTGTTCCCTGGTGATGGTGTGTTTAAAACCGCGAATTTTGAATTTTTGAAAATAAAAATTATTCGAAAAAATTCAAATTTCGCGCCCAATCTTCCTCTCACTGGTTCTCTCTCTCTGGTGTCTGTGTCTCTCAATTTTTTACACTATTTCTCTCTCTCTATCTCATTTTTCCGATTGTTGTGTTGTTGTGTGTGGGCCGGCGCCTTGGAATCCGGTTCACGTGTGGTAAGTCATCGATTTTCCTCTGTTTTCGGGATTTCGGCCGGAAATTAGGCTTTTAGGCCGAAAAATTCGGCCTTTTCGGACATCAGAAACCCCAGAAATCGGGAAATTTAGGCCTAAAAAAGTTTTGAGACTAAAAAAAATGAAAATTTTGAAATTTCAAAATTTTTGAATTTTTCAGAAGTTTGGACCGAGAAATCCTATAAAATCGATTTTTCGACACTTGAAAACCCGAAAAATTGAATTTTTCGACCAATTTTACCTCTATTAATGTGTACAGTAACCCACCTGCACATCAAACTGTGTTGTTTTGTGAATTGTGAAGTACAGTACTCACGAAAAACAATTCTTTTTTCAAAAAAAAAAAATTCAAATTGTGCTCTATTGAAAAAATAAGAAAAAAGCAAAAATTATCATTGGAGCGAAATTCAAAATTTTCAGAAAAAAATTTCAAAAAAAAATTTCTTTCAGAAAACCCATACGCCCACATTCCATCACCGGACCCGAATATTCAGAATTCGACGAATTCCAGAAGAGCTCAAGAGAATTTGTATACTTGAATTTTTGGAAATTTTGGAAAATTTTTTTTTTTTTGAATTTTTCAAATTTCCCGCCTTTCTCATTCCCATTATTTTTCTCTACTTACGGTGTACCCCCCCCCCCCATTTTCCCCTCTTTTTTGGCATTTTTCTAGCCCGCGAAACTCAAATTTTTCAAAATTTTCTGTACTATAATTTTAAGCCCCGCCCCCTTTTTCCATGAACCCCGGTGCTGAAAAAAATTACTAACTACATTTCTAGTGTTGTTCTTGTGTATGATGATTTTCTTGTATTTTGAATTTTTTTCAAATTTCCCGCCAAATCGTTTTTTTTTTGAATTGTGTGCTTTATTTACGGATAGTATCACTGTATTTATATGATATTTTTACGCATTTTCATGTACAAATTGATAAATTTTTCGAAGAAAAATCAACAGTTTGAACACACAGATAGACATTTTGAACAAGCGCGCTCCGTTGAGAAATTTTGAAATTTCGAGAAAATTTTGGAATTTTCTGAATTTTTAGGATTTCTCCAATATTCTAGAAATTTCTGAATTCTTTTTTTTCAATTTTTCAAATTAATTTGGAAAAAAAAACTTTGAGAATTCTTTCGAAAATCACAAAAAACCCAAAACATTCGAAGATTCTTGAGATTTTCAAAATTTTTCTATTCAAATTCGAACTTCCCGCCGTTTCCCTGTCTGCATTCGCTCGTGTTTGTGTTTGCAGACTTCAATTTATTCAGAATTCGAACTTCCCGCCGTTTTCCTCTCTGCACTTACGCGGGGCGGTGTTTGCGGAACGTCAGAAAATCTTCAAATTTTTGGGATTTTTCATCGAATTTTTTGATTTTTTAGTAATTTTCGGACGGTTTTTTGTGAATTTTTCGGTGAAAATATAGAAAAAGCATGGTCTAAAACCTAAAAAAATATGTAAATTATCGATTTTTAGCCGGAAAACTGGAGAAAATTCGAAAAATTAAAATCTATTTTCAGATTTTCAACTTTAAGCCTTCTGTGCGTTTTTCTACGTCGATTTTCTTCATTCTTATCGTTTTTTTTAAAATTCAATTTTTCTAGAAAAATCATGCCTCGTCGCAGCTCCTCTGAAAACCGGGTCATCGGACCAGTTAGATACTACGGTAGACCGGAAAAGAGGAAATCGCCAGTGCTTCCAACTCAAATTGAGGTGAAAAATCGATAATTTTCGAAAAAACGGCAAAAAATCAATAATTTTAGAAGGAGCCAGAACCCGAGCCAACTCCGCCAGTGTCTCCGGTAAAAAATCGATTTTCTTAAATTCAGAAAATCGATAATTTTCAGATTTTACCTCCAAGATCTTCTAAAGCCAATTCCAGAGAGTCCAGCGCACCGAAGGCGCGCCAGCCACCGAAAAGAGCCGGAAAAGTAGAGTTTTAAGGCTTAAAAATCGATTTTTGGAGCCAAAAAACGAATTTTATGCACTTTTTGACCCAGAAAATGGCATTTTTTGCTCATTTTTTAGGCCCAAAACTTCGAAAATCAGAAATTTCTGAAAAATTCCAAAACTTCAAAGAATCGATTTTCCGTCATTTTCTCAAAATTTTCACCTAGAAGACCCATTTTCAGACCCCACCCAACGTCTCCAAGCCAGAATCGTCATCTTCCAGAGGACGTGCTCGCCGTAACACCACCGCCACGTCTTCTCGATCGTCCGCCTCATCGTCTGGACCCTCCACATCGAAAAACTCCAAAAGAGCACCTCAAAAGGTCAAAAAGGCGGCTCCAAAGGCCAAAAAATCCACAAAAAAGACTCGAAACCCGAGAAATGTGACTCCAGAAGCCCCCGACGACGTCTATACGCCTCCAGAAGACGTGCCACGTCGCTTCAACCGAAAGCCAAGTGACCCGTTGATAAATCACGATTATGATATGGAATACGAAGAAGTACCACGTCATCTCGATTCGGATTCTGAATTCCCGTTGAGAGATCCAGAAGAGGTGCCAGATGTCAAAATGGAGACGTGGGATCCGGATTTTGGAGATTTATTGCCGATTCTGGAGAAGCCACGTCTTCTGGAGGGGACGTCGGAGGCGCGCCAGCCGCCAATCATCGAATGGCAAAATGAGCTGATTCCGGTGCCACTTCCAGCTGGAGAGGTGAGGGATTTGGCTGAAAATCGAAAATTCTCAAATTTAATTTTTTCGAAATCAAGCTTTGACCGCAATTGCGCTCCACTGAACTATTGTCATAACTCGCTTAGTTTTAGAGATCGACGCTTGATTTTGATTGCAATGGATTTGAAACTATCGATTTAGTCGATGACCAATCTAAATTTAAAAAAAATTACGAGTTTAATGCAGGTGCGCTCTACTGAACTATTGTCGTAACTCGCTTAGTTTTAGAGGTAGACGCTTGATTTTGACTGCAACAAATTTGAAGCCATCGATTTAGTCGAAATCGACTACGAACTCAAAAAATTTCCTATAAAAATACAAGTGCGCTCCACTGAACTTCTGAAAAAATGATACTGAAATGTATTTTCGCATTTTTGAGATTTAAGAAAATTTCGGAAAAATCAAACAATTTGAAATCCGAAAAATCTAAATTCTCAGAAATCTGAAATTCGCGGAAGTCTGAAAATTCGGAATCTCAAAATTTTGAAAAATCGAAAATTTCATTTTTTGGCCCGAAATCCCCCTAAAAAATGCAATAAATCAATATTCTTCCAGATTCTCCCAGACCACGTCATCATGAATTCGCGCATCGTCAACTGCGAAGTCAAGGACATTATTCTGGCGAATTGTGTCGTCGAGGGATGCAAATTCTACAATTCCAAACATTATATTGTCTGAAATTTCCCTAATTTTTCCAGAATTTTACAGAAATTTTTCTGAAAAAATTTGTGTTTTTTTTCAATTTTCCCAATTTTTTTATATTGTCATTTTCCCAGAATTTTCAACGTTTTTTCTGAAAAAAAATTTCTGAAATTTTTTTTCATTCTCATAATTTCCATTGTTTTAACGCATAAAAACCCCCCAAAAATTTTTATTTTCGACACAAAAATAACCAAAAAGTTCACAAAATTCTCCTTGGGCTCAGCGGTTTGGGTTGCTGAAAAAAAAGTGAAAAAATCAATTATCGATTTTTCTAAAAATTCAAAATTTCCCCAAAAAAACCTTTCTACACCCATTAAATTTCGAATTCGGCGCCAAAAATCCATCATCAGAATCTTCTGGAGTCGTCTTCTGATGCTTCGACGTCTCCACCGATGTCTTCGTATTGATTTCCCGGGAGAAATCGATAAATCGATAATCGGAATTCATCTCGAACTTTCTCGAAACTTCTGTATTCAAATCAGTGTCGGCGAGGGATTTGGGGGCGCCAGATGGATCAGTGATTTTCAGATGAATTTTGCTGAAAAAAAATCGATAATTGATTTTTCTGAAAATTTCCCGAAAATCGATTTTTTGAGCGATTTTGTAGATCAAAAGATTCTCCGTTTTCCGGCGATTTCAATGAGCTTAATTTCGCTGCTCAAAACTCTCTAGAACTATTTTCAGAGCGAAAATTCGAAATTATCGATTTTCCGAAAAATCGATATTTGAAAAATATTATTTTTGTAAATCAAAAAATTCTCCACTTTTCGGCGATTCTAATTGAGCTAAAATTGTCGCTCAAATTTGTCTTCAAAATTATCGATTTTCCGGAAAATCGAGAATTTTCGAAAAAATGGATTTTTAAAAAAATTGTGTAGATCAAAAGGTTCTCAAAATTACGGCGATTCAAATAATTCTAATTTTGTCGCTTAAAATAGACCTAAAAATTGTTTTCAGAGCAAAAAGTCGACATTATCGATTTTCCGGAAAATCGATAATCTTTTTTTCGCAAAAAATTTTCTAGATCATTTTAAACGAAATTATTTTTTTCAAAAATCGATAAAACCTTACAAATCCTGATCCTCCTTGACGATCTCTTCAACCAGAGCCATTTTCATCCGTCCCATCTCGTTTCTCTGCGTTTCCACACTCTCCACTATCACTTTTCCAGAACAATCATCGGTTTTTTTCGATTCTCCAATCAATTCGATCGATTGAATGATCAAAAAAGCATGAGCAATCGAGGAGAAGATCAAAAATGTGGGTGGATCGAAAAATCGATCGAAAAATGGCCTGGAAAAAAAAGTTAGGCCATAACCGAAATGTTCGAAAAAATCTACTTTTCGGATGCATCGGAGGTTAGATACCACGAAAAATGGGTGAAAAGTTGGAAATACTGAGCAATCAAAAAAATCGATGTGTAGAAGGAGTACTGTAGTTTTCCAGATGAGCGGAGTATCGTAATCAAGTAGCCACAGGAGAGCTGGGAAAAATAATTGAAGAAAAACTCTAAATTTGTCGCTCAAAAGCGATAAAAATCAAAATTATCGATTATTGTGGAAAATCGATAATTGATTTTCAGTCAAAATCGATATTTTTGTAGATCGAAAAATTCTCTCTTTTTCGACAATTCGAATAAGCCTAATTTTGTCGCTCAAAACTCTCCAGAAATATATTTCAGAGCCAAAATTGAAATTATCGATTTTTCCGGAAAATTTTCGATAATTTTCGAAAAGAAAACTTTACCAGGGAATTTTAAGCGACAAAATTAGTTTGTTCGAATGTCCAAAAATCTGAAAAATGCAAAAAAAAACCTGAAAATTGAAAAATGTAAATTATCGATTTTCCCGGGAAATTGATAAAAATTACCTCCGTTACAAAAATGCAACTAAACCAAGTACACCAATTTCTTTGAATTAATTGATAGGTCAGAGCAATTAACGAATAGATAATTAGCACTAATTGGACGAAGGAAATGATTCGATGTGTGAGAAGATAGAAGCTGAAAAATCGATATTTGCAAATTTTTGTAGATCACAAAACTCTTGGCGATTCGAATGAACCTAATTCTGTCGCTCAAAATTGTCTATAAATATCGATTTACTGAGCGAAAATTCGAAATTATCGATTTTTTGCTGAAAGCCGATAATTTTCGGAAAAATCGGTGGAAAATCGACTTTTTTATGTTCACTTGAATCACAGAAAAATGAAGAATTTTATGATCTACAAAAAAGTCTGAAAAAAACACAAAAAAATCGATTTTCCGAGAAATTTCACTTTTATCGATTTTACAGATTTTTTCCGCCTCACTCAATTTCATCGTCCTTTTTATCGATTTTTCTATCGGCAATCGAGTAGATCAACTTCGTGACATCATCGTCTTTTCGATCGATTTGTGTGAAATTCGACACTTTTTTCGATTTATCGATTTTCGGTTTCAACTTGCTTTTAGCTGATAATGCATTTGTTCTGGAAATTTATTGATTTTTCTGAAAATTTATAGATTTTTTTAATTTTTCAAATTTTCTGAAATTTAAAAAAATCGATAATTTTCTGAAATTTTCAGCAAAAATCCTCTTAAAAATTACTTTTTTTCTGGAAGATTGCTCATGTTGTATTTATCTGGAAATATCGATTTCTGTCATTTTTCGATTTTCAGTGATTCGTGGAAAATCGATATTTTTGTGATTTTCAAGTCAAATGTTTTGTAAACTTTTCAGCGATTTTTGAACATTTTTTTGAATTTTTTTGTAAATTTTCAAAGAAAAAAAAATTGAATTCCCATCTTTTATTTTCCATCTCCTTACCGCTCAAAAAAGCAAGAAAAATGCATGGAAAGAAGAAGAAGAGAAAGGGGCGGAGCTTTAAAGTGGGCGGGGCTTAAAATGCAAATGCGCTCCATTGGAGGACGAATAAAATGAACATGATCGATTGTAACAGGATAAGGAGAGAAAAAAAACACAAGAAAAAATGCATATAAAATTGGTTGGGTGGGCGTGGCCTAAAAAGGGGGCGGAGCCTAGAAATTTGTGGGGGCGTGGCTTAGATATAATAAAAATGCGCGTATAATTTGATGTATATAAAAAAGATCCAAAAAAAATGGGGGCGGGGCCTAGAAAAATGCTTGGATAATAAATGGATACTGTAGAATTTGAACACATATAAGAATGGAGAGGGGGCGTGGCCAAAAAATCGGAAAATTGGGTGCAGAAAAAAGGGAAGTACAGTAGGAGAATGTGTTTATGAAAAGGGGGCGGAGCCTAGATTTTTTGGCTTTAAAAACTCAAAAAAGAGGGAGGGGGCGGAGCCTAAATTTTCGACCAAAAAAGCTTGAAAATTGAATTTTGAGTCGATTTTTGGCTTCAAAAAGGGGGCGGAGCCTAATTTTTTGACTTAAAAATGAGATTTTTGGCGTTTTCTGGGCCAATTTTCAGCGATTTTAACGATTTTTTGGGTCAAAAAATTGAGAAAAAAAAGGGGCGGAGACAAATTTTGGGGGTTTTTTTAGGCCAATTTTAATGGATTTCAACGATTTTCAGCTCAAAATTTCGAATTAAATTTAGATAATCCCTGTTTGGTGGCAGCTGGTGGGAGTCCAAATGAGCGGGCACGTCTCGTCGGTGGCATGAATCTCACCGGCGGCGCTCCAGAATCCGATCCCCAGTCGTCGTCGTCGTCGTCAGTGTCGTCGTTGAATAGTCGCTCCGACTTCTGCTTCTTCGTGTTGTTGTTGAGCTCGGCGGCTGGCTGGAAATTATTGATTTTTGAGAATTTAGAAACGCTTAAAAATTTAAAAATTCGATTTCAAAGTCCAAAAATTGATTTTCAGCCAAAAATATCGCTTTTGGGACATTTTTCAGTCGATTTTCAGTCAATTTTCAGTCATTTTATACCAAAAAACGCGTTTTTCAAATTTTTTAAATACGATTTTCAGGCAAAAATCATCGATTTCTGGCGTTTTTCAGACAATTTTCAGTCAATTTTCAGCAATTTTCTACTCAAAAATCTGAATTTTAAGCTCAAAAAAGGGATTTTCAGCCAAAAATATCGGTTTTGGGACATTTTTCAGACGATTTCCAGTCAATTTTCAGTCATTTTAAGCCCAAAAGCATGATCTTTATGCCAAAAATTATCGATTTTTTGGCGTTTTCCAGTCAATTTTCAGAGTCTTACCGTGATCGGTGCTAGCTCCGATCCTGACCAATCATCGGCATCTTGGATCTGGTAAGCTGGTTGGATGTTGGCTTCTGGATTCCGGGTTACTGTAGTAGGCTGAAAATCAGAAATTCTGGGTCGTTTTAGGCTATTTCAGTCAAATTTAGGCCCAATTTACCTATGAAAAACAGAAAAATGTGATTTTTGGGGCAAAATTCAAAGATTTCCAAATTTCAGCTCGAAATTTGGACCTGAAAATGGCGGGAATTCGAAAAATGGTCATTTTCAGTCAAACTGTGGTTCTTTTTTAGTCGGATTTCAGCCTATTTTAAGCCACGTTTTGGCCTATTTTCAGTCTATTTTTAGCTCATTTTCAGGTCAATTTTGGTCCATTTTCAGTCAAAAATTCGTCATTTTCAGCTTAAAAATGTGATCTCACCGCTCTAGCCGAAGAAAGTGCAAGACAGCTGGACAATGGTCGTGCTCCAGTGGCTTCAGGTGCTCCGAAGCTTGTTCTGATCGGTCTGGATCCTTCCGATCCTTCTCTAGCTCCTCCAATGGATCCTCCGAAGCTCGTTCTGGCTGCTCCAGAAGCTCCAACTCCTGGCATAGAGGGTTCAGGGCCTCCGAAGCTCGTTCTGATTGGTCTGGATCCTTCCGATCCTTGTCCAGGTCCTCCTTCGGGTCCTCCGAAGCTTCTTCTCATCGTTCCAGCTCCTCCGAATTCAGATCTAACCGGTTCTGGTGCACCGAAGCTTGGTCTGGATCCTTCTGATCTTTCTCCAGCTCCGCCAAATCCTCCGAAGCTTGTTCTAGTTGGTCCAGAAGCTCCGATTCCTGCTCCAGAAGTCCCTCTAGTAGGCGATGGGGATCCAAATATGTAGTCGGCGTCGTTGGATCCTCCGATTCTTGGTCTAGCAGCTGCTTCAGTGGCTGCAGACCCTCCGAAGCTTCGTGGAATCGTTCTGGATCCTTCCGATCTTTGTTCAGCTCGACCAATGGATCCTCCAGTTGCTCCGAATCCTGATCTGGCTGGTTCAGGGCCTCCGAAGCTTCGTCTGGATCCTTCCGATCTTTCTCCAGCTTCTCCAGATGCTCCGATCCCTGGCCTAGCAGCGTCGGATGGTCCATTTCTTGCTCCGATATGGTCTCTAGGAGCTGCCGAATCCCCGAATCCTGGTCTAGCTGCCTCCGATCTTCCTGATACTCCATTTCTTGGCTCCGATCCTTCACCACAACTAATATCCAAATCCACTGAATCACTATCAAACGTCGAATTTCCAATTGGGACGTAATCTTCGTAGAGTACAGGATTCGTGGGATCCGATACTCCGAAGCTTCGTCCGACGGGAGCTCCGAACCCAGGTCTGGATCCCTTCGATCCTCCTCCAGCACCCCCAAACCCAGATCTGACGGGTTCAGAAGCTCCGAATCCTGGTTTGGAAGCTTCAGATGTGATGGATCGTCCGATAGGTCTAGTCGCAGGTGTCTCCGAAGCTTCAGATCTTGCTCCAGGAGCATCAATTCTTCGTTCAGGTCGTTCAGTCTTCCGTGGAGATGGTGATCCAAAAATGTAGTCGGTGACAGCGTTTTCTCTCGATCTAGACGGTGAGCCTCCGAAGCTTTGTCCGGATCCTCCGATTCCCTGTGTAGCTGCTCTTGAAGCTTCCGAAGCTTTGGATTCTGGTCTACCTGTCTGTAAGCTTCCAGTAGTGATCTGCTGGCGTTGTGGAATCTCAAAATCCGAACTGTCATCTGGAATTCCAGCTGCTCCTCTTCCGAATGCTCCAGATCCTACGAATCCAGTTCTGGCTGGTTCAGGTGCTCCGAAGCTCGGTCTAGCTGCTCCAATAGATCTTCCAAATCCAAATCTAGCGAGCTCAGGTGCTTCGAAGCTCGTTCTGGATCCTTCCGATCTTTCTCCAGCTGCTCCAATGGATTTTCCAGCTCCTCCAAATCCTGATCTGACTGATTCTGATGCTCCGAAGCTTGGTCTAGCTGCTCCAAGTCCACCAGAAGCTCCGATTCCTGCTCCAGAAGTCTCACGTCTTCTATCATCAGCCGATGGCGATCCGAATATGTAGTCGGCGTCGTTGGATTCTCCGATTCTTGGTCTAGCCGCTCCACTAGTGGCTCCTCCGAATCCGAAGCTTGGTCCGATCGTTCCTCCAGCAGGTCTGGATCCCTCCGATCTTTCTTCAGGACCTCCGAAGCCTCCGAAGCTTCGAACGACTGTCCTCGACCCTTCAGATGCTAAAAATCCTGGCCTAGATGCTCCAGAATCTCCATTTCTTGCTCCGGTAGCTTCAGAATCCCCAAATCTTGATCCATTAGCTCCTCCAAATCCTCCGAAGCTTCGTCCGATCGTTCTGGATCCCTCCGCTCTTCCTCCAGCTTGTCCAGATGCTCCCAAGCCTCGTCCGATCGTTCTAGATCCTTCTGGCCTTTCAAATCCAGATCTGACCGGCTCAGATGCTCCAAACGCTTCAAATCCTGTTCTCGGAGCTCCAAGTCCCGCTAGAATCGGTTCAGAAGCGCTAAATGATAGTTCAGGAGCACCGAACGACGGTTGAGATCTTCCGAATCCCTGTGTAGCTGGTCTCGAAGCTTCCGATCCTCGTCTAGCTGCTTGTGATCCTCCAGACGGTGTCTGCTGGCGTTGTGGAATCTCAAAATCCGAACTTTCATCTGGCATTCCGACTGTTCCTCCTCTTCCGAATGCTCCCAAGCCTCGTCCGGTCGTTCTAGATCCTTCTGAGCTTTCAAATCCAGATCGTGCTCCAGATGGCATTTCTCCGAAATTCAGTCTAGTGAATCCTCCATTTCCTTCAGAAGGTCGTCTATTGTCATCTGGAGCTACAGGTGGTGCTCTGAATCCAAATCCACGTTGAATCTGTGGCATCGGAGCTGGTGGAACCTGAAAATCCCAATGTTAGAGGCATCTTAGATCGATTTTGGCGGTTTTCAGGGCTATTTAGGGCATTTTTGACCTAATTTTGGCTTTACGAACGTCTTGAATTGTGAATCCAAATCCTGCCCTTTCTGCTCTGGGAGCTCCGAGTCCCGCTAGAATCGGTTCAGAAGCGCCAAAGGATAGTTCAGGAGTGTCGAATGATGGCCGGGACCTTCCGAATCCTTGTATAGCTGCTCTGGGAGCTGCTTCAGCTGGCGGTGCTCTGAATGGATTCGATCCACGTTGTGGGACCTAAAAATTGCGTTTTTAAGACAATTTTTAGGGCAATTTGAGGGGGAAAAGCTCATTGTTGGCATTCTTAGACATAAAAAACGCTAAATTTGGCATTTTCTAAGCTGTTTTCAAGCTAATTTCAAGTATTTTAGGCCTAAACAAGGCTATTTTTAGGCCAATTTCAGGCATGCTGCGCCTGAAAAGGCCTAGTTCTAGCATTTTCGCATTTTTTAGACTATTGTTAAGCCAATTTCAGGCATTTTCAGCCAATTTTTGGCATAAAAAAACCACGAACGTCTGGTCGTCCGAATCCTGGCCTGGATCCTTCTGATCTTTCTCCAGCTCCTCCGAATCCAGATCTGACCGGCTCAGATGCTCCAAAAGCTTCAAATCCTGTTCTCGGAGCTCCAAGTCCCGCTAGAATCGGTTCAGAAGCGCCGAACGATTGTTCAGGAGCACCGAACCATGGTTCCGATCTTCCGAATCCTTGTGTAGCTGGTCTCGAAGCTTCCGATCCTCGTCTAGCTGCTTGTGATCCTCCAGACGGTGTCTGCTGGCGTTGTGGAACCTCAAAATCCGAACTTTCATCTGGAATTCCGACTGTTCCTCCTCTTCCGAATGCTTCCAAGCCTCGTCCGACCGTTCTAGATCCTTCTGATCTTTCTCCAGCTCCTCCAAATCCAGATCTGACCGACTCTGATGATCCAAAAGTTTCAAATCCTGTTCTCGGAGCTCCAAGTCCCGCTAGAATCGGTTCAGAAGCGCCGAATGTTTGTTCTGGAGCGCCGAACCATGGTCCCGATCTTCCGAATCCTTGTCTAGCTGGCTCCGTCCGTGGAACTCCTGCTCCTCCTCCTCTTCCGAATGCGCTTTCTCTTGGAGCTCTGAATCCGAATCCACGTTGACTGGGAGCTTGTGGCGTCTGAAAATTGTCATTTTAAAAGCCCTAGGAGACTCATTTTTGGGGATTTTTGGACCCAAATTTTCAATTTTTCGGGGCATGTTTAATCAATTTTAGGCGAAAAAAGGCTTTTTCAGGCCAATTTCAGGCAAGCTAGGCCTCAAAAAGGCTATTTTCAAGCTAATTTCAGGCCGCCTAGGCCAAAAAAGACTATTTTAAAGCCATTATGAGGCCGACTAGGCCTAAAAACGCCTATTCTTGAGCCAATTTCAGACAAGTTGGGCCTAAAAAAGGCTTTTTTCAAGCTAATTTCAGGCCGGCCAGGCCTAAAAAAAGGCATTTTTAGGTCAATTTCAGGTAGTCTAGCTCTAAAAAAGCCTATTTTTAAGCAAATTTCAGGCAAGTTAGGACTAAAAATGGCTATTTTTAAGCCAATTTCAAGCATTTTAGTTCTAAAAACCCTCATTTTTAGACTTTTTAGGCAGTAAGTTTCCAATTTTAGACAAAAACAGGCCTAGTTATTCACTTTCTAGGCTATTTTCAGGCCTTTCTCTAATTTCTCGGTAAAAACGAACGAACTACTTTTGTCGCTGTAGAATCTCCACCGAATCCAGAAGACGTTCCGAATGACTGCAATTCACGTGGCGCTGGATTCTGAGGATTCTGAGGAGGAGCCGGTGCGTCCCAATCGGAAGAAGACGTCGATTGCACTTGTGTGGCTCTTCTCGGCTGTGGTGCTCCGTTGTAGCTGATGGGGCGGAGCGCATCTGGAGGGATGTGGACGTCACGACGGTCTCGAACGACGCCTCCTGGTCCGCGGAGCACGAATCCACGGATCGAGAGCTGCAAAATTGGGGGTTTTAGGGTCATTTCAGGGTTTTCGGGGGTATTTTTAGGCTATTTTCAACCGTTTCGCTCATTTGGGACCATTTTAGGCTTATTTTGGTCTTTTCAGGCTTGTTTTAGGCTTATTTTCAGCTATTTTCAGGGATTTTAGGCTAATTTCGTGGAGTTTTTAGGGATTTCGATGGTTTTTAGGCAACTTTGAAGCTATTTTCAGCCTAATTTAAGACTTTTCAGGGCTATTTTAAACTGTAAAACGCTATTTTTCGGCAATTTTCAGGCTAATTTCTAGGGCATTTTCCGGAAATTAGCCTGAAAATTCCCAGAAATTAGCTTCAAAACTCCTAGAAATGCGTAGAAATTGGCCAAAATTGTTAGAAAAATGGTATTTTTGGGATTTTTTGGCTATTTTTAAGCTTTTTAAAGCTATTTTAGCCTATTTTAGAGCTATTTTGAACCAATTCTGGCTCATTTTAGACCATTTTTGGCTCATTTTGGATCATTTTTGACTCATTTTAGCTTATTTTTGGCTCATTTTAGCCTATTTTTGAGCTATTTTTGACCTTTTTTGGATCATTTTAGACCATTCTTGGCTCATTTTGGACTATTTTTGACTCATTTTTGACCATTTTTGGCTCATCTTGGACCATTTTTGGCTCATTTTTGACCATTTTTTGCTCATTTCAGACCATTTTTAGCTAATTTTGGACAATTTTTGGGTCATTTTAGACCATTTTTAGCTCATTTTTAACCATTTTCGGGTCATTTTTAATCATTTTTGGCTCATTTTTAACCATTTTTTGCTTGAATCAGATCATCTTTTTGCTCATTTTGGACAATTTTTAGTCCATTTTGGACCTTCTTTCGCCCATGTTCCCTTATTTTCACTCACAAATCCATTGATACTGTACATCTTGCCCTGATGAATGAAATGGGTGACCTCCCAGTGTGGTCCACTGCCTGAATACCGTTCGGATTGGATCAAATTCAGCATGACATCCAGTGTATTGATTTGATATTGGATCAGACGATTCTGAGCGTCTCTTGACAGTATAACTTCGCCGTAGTAGTCATTTTTGAAGGCGTCGTTGCGGAAATCCCGGGAAATTGAGTTTTTGTACTGGAAAATGAGTTTTTGGGGGTTTTGGAGTAGTTTTGGGGGTGAAATTTGGCAATTTTTACGCTGAAAATGACCATTTCAGGCCTAGAAAGTTGGAATTTTTTTTTTTGAAAATTTTGAAAAAAAAATTTTTCCTTTGAAATTTTTTTCAAAATTTCCTAAACTTCAGCCAAAAAAAACCCCCCGATTTTTCTAGATTTTCAGCCTCACCGTCAACTGTTTTCCCTCGTTTTGATACTGGAAAAAGTTGACTTTATTAAATTCCCGCACGTTCATGGGGTTTTTGGAGAACTCGTCGTTGGTGGGAGCCTCGGAGATTCGGACGTCTTCGTCAATGTTCACTGCCATTTTATAGCAGTTTTTGGGATGATCGTCGGGGGCGGAGACAACGTTATACTCGACCCAGGCGCCATAGGAGACCTGGAAATTTGAAATTTTCAAAAAAATTTCTTTTTCGGAAAATTTGAATTTTTTGAATTTTTGGGCCTAAAATCGAAATTTAAGCTTTTCTAAACTAATTTTTCAGCATTTTCCGAGCATTTTTACCCCAGAAAAGTCAATTTTTCGAAAAAACATTTTTTTAATTTTTCCCTATTTTCTTGCTTATTTCACTCACAAACGGGTCGTCTATCTCTCCATACAGGTACTTATGTTTGTGGTCAAAAATCTCGACCATTTCTTTTCCCTTCCAGCTTATCCATCCCGAGATGACGCCTTGCGATTTCTTCTCGCGCATTTTTTGGCTAAAAATATTTTTTAACATTTATTTTTCTTGATTTCGGCAAAATCTGAAAAACAACGGTGAAAATTTGGCTGAAAATGATGAAAAATGAGCTGAAAACCAGGCGATAAATGATAACGTTTTTTGCCGGGTACCGTAATTTAAAGGAGCATGCTGCAAATTCATTTGTCGGGTTTTGACACGGAAGCGTTTTTTTTTGGTTTTTAAGGGTTTAAGAGTTGTTTTTCTTGAATTTTTATTTAAAGTTTGAGATTTTAAAATTTTTCGCTGTTTTTTACAACAATAAAATTGTTTTTTGAACATGTTATAGAAAAAAATTTCATTGAAATTCACTATATTTTGATTTCTACAGTAATCCTTAAAGGCGCATAAAGCAAAATTGTGGGTTGCGTCTCGATGCGAACCATTTTTATGTGAAAAAACTGTATTTTTCTATGCCATCTAAATTGAATTTTCTCAAGACATTGGCACTACTTATTCCTCAAAACCCGTTCCCCTCTGGATTACTGTAGCCCCATTTTTTTAAACCTAAAATAAATATTCCATTTTTTCAAAGCCTTCATTAATATGCATATCATAAATCGGTGCAAATAGTCAAAAATTAGATAAAGACAAAAGAAGTAATACAAGTGAAAATAGGGGAAAAACAAGAGAGTTCCAGGAGCTTCTAGATTCTTCACTTATTTGACATCTTCCACATCAATCTCATCAGCATCCTCGTCATCGTTAGGATTACGGTTCGGGTTGTAGGTCAGACCGAGTTTGTAGCTGAAAAAAGGAGGAAAATTGATTTTTAGAAGCTTTGAAGCTCCAAGAATCGGCACAAAATCCAAACTTTTTGGATTTTAGCGGGCCAAAAACCCAAAAATGGCACAAAATACTACCAAATTTGATCACAAATCTGAATTTCTGGGTCAAAATTAGTAGAAAAAGCCTCCAATATCGTCAAAAAACCACTAAATTTGGTGCCAAATTCACTTTTTAGAGTCAAAATAGTCCAAAAACTACCAAACTTACTAGGGAATGGTCAGAACTTATCTCGCGATCGGGAGATACAAATGGGTCCACGGAAAAGAAGAAGGTTGTTCCCTGATTCCAGAACAATTTTCAAATTTTGCTAAACGGCCCGGAGAGCCGAGATATTTGTGCTCAAAAATCAAGCTATAAACCATGTAAATCTCTCGCTTTTGGCTATTTGATTTGCTGCTTCCCCTCCCTATTTTCCTCCCTCGAACACCTCATTCTTATCCGCCACCGATGGCAACTACCAAATGTTGGGGAGAGGCCGAGTGGTGTGTGCTCATTGCTAGAAAGGTGAAATTGCGGGACCGAACCGAGACTCCCAACAAGGAAAGCATTTGCCAGAGAATGTCTTCATTAATGAAGAACGAAAGTCGAGGTTCGAAGGCGATTACATACCGCCCTAGTTGTGACCGTAAACGATGCCATCTCGCGATTCGGAGGGTTTATGCCCTG